TGCAAGGCACAGATGCCAAGGCCATGCAGCAGGCTGAAGCCCAATGCGGAAACCTGCTTCCCCGCGCGCCCGTGTCTTTTGTGTTAGAGCGAGACGCACGGGTGCCGGATGCCGGCACCATCCGCGGTGCGCACTTGCGATGGAAGAGGGACCGAGAGGTTGGAACGCGAGGTTTTCCGTGGTCCTAGAACATCTTCTCTAGGAGCGGGAGTGAGGCACAGGCCCTGGCCTTTATTCCAGAAAGGCGCCGGGCCAAGGGGAGCGGCTGGAAGGTTGCCGTGGGATACAACGGAGGCCTGCAAGCGAGGGAGCTGGGGAACTGGGAAACCGCCTGCTCTGCATCAGCAAGGCCATTCCCTTGCGGAAGGCGAGCAGGCACCTCGGGGTCGGAAGGACATCCCAAAACAATCACCGCCTGCCCCCTTGACTCCCTTTGGAACTAAAGCAAAACCCCCAAGTAGTTAAGGGGAAATTTTCCCAAAACAACCCATTGAATCAGTGTCACTCTGGAACTGGGCAGACGTGTGAGGAACCGGACAGAAAGAAATGGGACGGTTGTAGAGTCTGCCATTTAGGGATCCCACGGCGGGGAGTCTGCGCAGTAACCATCACAATGACCGCCCACCCGCCCCTCACATTGGAAAACCATTTTTCTGTTGCGTGTGCACACGGAAGCATTAATTAGACTTTTGTGGCAGGTGCCGGGTGGACAAAGACAGGGCCTCTGCCACTGAGGAGAAGAAACAAAGAGACTGATCACTGTAATCGGTGCCATGATGATGACTTGTATAGAGGACTATGGGGAGCCCAGGAAAGTTCTGTGTGGGCCTTAAGGATGTGGGATTGGTGCCTGTAACAGGAGTTTTGCATGATGAGCCGCTCTCTTTTCCTTCCACCATTCCTGCTCCTCAGAGCTCTATAAGGGGTAAAGAAATGACCAAAGAAAGTCCTAATGCTTCCCTAAATGGTCACTTCTCCAAAGTATACCTTGCTGGGCAGAGGGTTTTGCAGGCTTCCAGACCCCTCACTATAGAACAGTCCTCTCTGGTCCTGGGAAAGTTGGCATCCCTTTATCTGAGGGCCTTCACACTTAGAATCTGCTAGTGTCCAGCCAGACAGGCTTGTCTTCCTCTTCCTTACCCACCCCTCCCCACCCACGATGCTCCAGACCACGCAAAGGACGTTTGCTTAGGAAGCTTCAAACCTCTTTCTGGTTCACACCTTCCCCCCCAGCCCAACCAGGGGCTCCCACTCATTCCTGGCTTCCGGCCTCAAAGCCCACCCCGTCCACAGCGTCATGGAAAGGTGGTCAGCACAGTGGGTGGCCCAGCCCTTCCCAGGGCAGGAAGGAAGTCTGCACCCACCTCTGGGCAGTTGGTGGTGACTCACCCAAAGGAGCCCACTCCCCCACACCGGACACAGGAAGGACAAAAGTCCTTCCATTACAAAGACTCAGCTCAAAACCTCAAACCATAGTGGCCATCTCCATCTTCCGCCAGCAGGCTCTTTCCAGACTCTGCCTGTCCTACACCACAGTAAAGGTCTTCCAATGTCCTGAGAGCACCAACACCTTGTGCAGGGATTTATTTTCCTGTGGAAACTTCTTTACCTGGTTATCTCCTAGTCATCCCTCCCAGCAACCTCCAACTGACCACTTATGGCCTCCCCTAGTACCTGAACTTAACCTCTCTCCAGAAACTTCTCCCTTAGCACAGTGATTCCCAATATATGTGATTGCGTCTCCTAAAGATTGTAAGTTCCTTGAGGACCAATTTCTTGACCTTTTCAAGATAGTTTCCACCTTCATGGTAGGCACCTCGTACATGAAGAAGTGAAAACTATGATATACAAACAGTATGAATTATTATTCTTTGAAGTTGGTGGGGACAAGGTGGTAGCTGTACAAGTATTTAGTTCCTCTCTTGATTTTCTTTACTAGCCATCGCCCAGCCTAAACCAGTGGTTTGCAACGTGTGGCCCCAGACAAGCAGTGTCTGGGAACTTCTTAGAAACAAATACTTGGTTCCATCCCAGAACTGCTAATTCAGACACTCAGGGCATTGGGTTCATCAGCCTGTGATTTAACGAGCCCCCCAAGTGATTCTGATGCATGCTCAGATTTGAGAACCACTGTTCCAGCCCTAAGAGCTTGGGGTCATAACATTCAACCATGTAAATATTAAATTAGAAAAATTTTGCACAAAATCAAGATTTTCAGCAAACCCAAACACTCCTACATCCTCGTTTCCCCGTCTTCTAATAACTATTGTTATAGGTCAACAGCAGACACAGCATGAAGTCCCATTCAATGGATGAGAACAGTAAGGCTGGGAAAAAAGAAATCTACTTTCTCAAATGATAAAATTAAAACAGGCAGAGTCCGTGCAGGAATCTGGCCCAGTGATCTTTGTACAGCAACACAAAGTCATTCAAAAGCCAGTAAAATAAAAGAAAGCACTTGAGAATTTATAATTTAAGGACCAGAAGTATGAGAACAACTTCCTCTTCACACTGATGTTGGATGATCTAATAAATAACCTTTCAAGGAGAGCTCCTGAGGGCTTGGGTCTCTAAGGATCCTGATAAGTCCTTCAGGAAGATTTAGGACAATAGTCCACATAGCTTCTTCAATAGAGAGACAGACAGGGGTTTTTTGTTTAGTTTGGTTTTTTTGGTTTGTTGTTTTGTTTTGTTTTTTAAAGTCGCAATACCCGATTTAGGTATTGGGTATTGTGCCTTAAAAATGGCAATTGGTTTTTTAAACCTGTTACCTTTCTACTGGTGAAGAACTCCACATGTAGGAAACCTTGCTTCCAGACAGAGCAGTCCTAGGACAAACACCTGAGCCTTGGTGGATGAGGTAGAAGCCTAAGTTCTGGAAAATGGGGACAAAGCTGGACTGTCTCAAGGTCTTGTGTGCGTTTGGGTGGCTGTCTGGCGCCCCCCTGTGTTCAGTATCTGCACCCAAAGAACCAAAAGACCACAGGGATGGAGTGTGGGTCAAAGCACTAAGCCATTGTCCAAGGACGGCCTGTGGCCATGAAAAGTCAGTGGAAGGGGTTCAGAAGTGGGCCATCTGGGATGTCCTCCCAGCCCTGGTGGAAAAGCACTCTCTGGGACAAGCTGCCTAGTATGGGTACAGTGGAAAATTGTGTCCAAGCTCACCCAATTGCCTCTACTGGGGAAATGGATCGCTGTGTCCCTCCTGCTGGGTATTTGGCCAGCAGGCCTGTTCCTCCTGACTTAGCACCCAGGCCAGAGACTTATAGCCTTTTTTTTTTTTTTTTCATTTAAGAGAAATTGACTGTTCTGCTGAAGCCAGCTTGGGCCCCTGAGGAGACATTGCAAGGCAGTTCTGAATGTGCTAAGTCAGTGGGTGGTAATGGGCACTGTATGCTCAGTGGAGCCACTTCCCACCCTTCCCCATAAATAGTCCTTAACGGGCTCCCACAGAAGGCTTGGGGTGGGCTCTTCTTCTTCGCCTGCCTGCTCCCCCTGACTCCTACCCCTGGAGCTCTACCATCCCAGCCAGATCACCAAGTCATCCCCTGGCGTGAAATGATGTCCTTTATGCCCAGACCATGGCACCTTCAGCACAGACTGCAGGACCAATGCCAAGCTGCCAGGGTTGGTTCTGGCCATAGGACAGGGTTCAACCCAAGAACTGAGGGGAGCCTTAATCCTTGGCTAGAGCCTGGGCGCTCCTCATATACGCTGAATCACATAAGTCATGGAAAGCAGGTTACTCACACTCTCCAAGCCCCAGTCTTCATCAGCAAAAGGGTAATCTCAGCCCCAGAATGAGCCCAGTGTGGGTCTTGGCATTTTCAAGAGTTGAGAAGTTTGGTAAATCTAACAGACAAGCACCTTCTTGCCTCTAAGCCTTTGTACATGCTGTTTGCACTGCCTGGAACAGTTTTCTCTCTCTCTCCTTCCCTTGACGAATACCTTTTTACCTTCAGTTATAGTGTAGACTTCTCCAGGAACCCTTCTAGAGTCCCCTAAGCCTGGGCTTGGTCCCCTCCAGTAGTTCTCATAACCCCCTGCCTGGTCCTGGTCCCAGCAGTGGTCACGTGGTCTGGTGATTGGCTGTTTGTTGGTCTGGGCCCTCACTTTAGTAAACGCCATGAAACAAAAGCAGAGATCGCATCTGCTTATTCACCTAGGCACCTGCAGGGCCTGGTACAGTGCCCAGAACATGGTAGGCGCTCAATACATATGTGCTTGACTAGGTAGATGGGCTCAGAATGAAACACAGGCTGGGGCCAGAGGGCCGAGGGCAAGTTAGCAAGACAGCTAAGGAAACACGCACACACATCCACATTCTGCATCATGGCCTGCAGCCCGGCATGTCATGACCCTGGAGCCCCCACGAACACGTGCTGTGGAGATCTCTGCCCAGCCTTGCAGCTCTCTGGCCCATTAGAGAGAGAAGAAGCCATGGGATCACTAAGGCCAGGAGCCCACAGATGAGGCCTGGGCCGCTCTGCCCCAGCTCGACCACAGAATCTCTGCTTTTGTTCATTCCTGTTTCTTGATGCACTTGTTCTGATAAAATCTGGCTCTGTGTTAAAAAGAAAAAAGACAAAGACAAACGCAAAGACCACTGATTTAGTCTATGCCCTCATTTTACAGATAAAGAAAGGGGAGCCAGAGAGGAGAGGGAACATTCTCCAGCATCACACAGCTCAGCATCAGAGTAGGAAGACCCGGCATCTCCAATCTGTAGATACTTGTCAGAAGGAGGGAAGGGGGGCGGTTATTCAGAGTGAAGGGCTGAGGGTCTGAGAGGAGACTGAGTAGGCCCAATAGGTCCCCAGATGGCGTGTGTCCCTCCTGCATCACCACCCTCCCCAATGGGAACTAGCCTCCCCTTGCAACGGGAGAGAGGAGGCGTCAGCAGGAGCACTGGAGGGCATGATAGTGGGAGTTTGCACGTGCACACAGCACCCACACTCAAGGGCTAATTCCCACCGCCCTGCCCTGCCTGGCCTTGACAGCTGTTCCTGGGACTACTGTCTTCTTAGGCCACGGAGGGCTGAACCAGCTCGGAGGGGCCTTTGTGAACGGCCGACCCCTGCCGGAAGTGGTGCGTCAACGCATCGTGGACCTGGCCCACCAGGGCGTGCGGCCCTGTGACATCTCCCGCCAGCTCCGAGTCAGCCATGGCTGTGTCAGCAAGATCCTCGGCAGGTAAGCACGAAATTCACCATAAGCATAAAATGCACCACAAGCCACCTTCGGCGCAGGGTTTGCCTTGGGAGGCCCACCTCGCGGCCACGCCCCTTCCTCTGGGAGCACTAGGTCAGCTCCCACGTCCTGCTTCCCTCCCGGTGGTGCCTCCCCACCCACTGCTCTTCTGTAATTTTCTTGTCCTTGCTTCTTTCTTTGTCCATTTCTCCTTCCTTTCATTTCTCCCTCCCCCTTTGCTCCTTTGCCCCATCTCTCATTTTTAGGGACTTCCCCACTCCTAAAGCTGGAGACTCTTCCCCAAAGCACCCCACCCCACCCTGGCTGAGACCAAGGGAAATGGAGGAGCCAGGAAGGGGACACACAGGAGGAGAGGTGGCTCCTGCGGTCTCACTCCCTGCATGAGGGATATTTGAGTGTGCTTCTCAAACTCTTAAGTCCCAGAGCATCTGCAAAGGAGCACCAGGGTTCCTTGATGAGCCGCACAGCCCTAAGCCTGGTCCACACCGACTTATAAATCACAGCATCTTCTCCAGGAGCCAGGCCTGGGTGTTGTGATTTTTAGGGGATGACCAGGGACCAGTTAGGAACACTCATGCCAGAGCAGTGGTTCATTGCCAGGGCTGCACGATGGAGTCACCTGGGGAAACCTAATTAAAAAATAGGTATGTGTGTCTAGGCCCCAGCCCACACTCATTATTAAAGCAAAACTTTAGGAGAACAGACCAAGTGTTTGTATAGTGTTAAGGCTCCTTCAAGGGATTCCAGTTTTCGATAGCCAGAGTTGAGGACCACTGGCCCAAAGTTTCAGGAGGGACCAGGAGCAGCAAAGCCCTGCTTCTGGGTTGACACAGCATAGCCTGGAGAGCCACTCCCAAAATGCCCCTGCCCTGGGAGACTTGAGGCTTTGCATCAGCTTGGTGTACCTGTCTCCCTCACCCAGCTCATAGGTGGATTCAGCAACAGTCCTGGTTTAAAGAGCCAAAGGGACCTGACTGTAGCTGAACTGTGGAGAGCTCTGGCTTCCTGAATGAAGTTGCCAAGGACAAGGGCACTGCCCCACCCCCTCCGGCTCAGGTCAGGAGAGGGGCTCCTAGGATGTACTGCAGTGTCCTCAAGAGATGAGTCTGGAATGGCTATGGTGGACAAGCAGAGTTTTAAAGAACCAAGCTTTATTCTCTGACAGAAGAGTCCAGAGAGTTTCCACCACAAAGAGGGGAAAGTTATCCTGACCTAAGTCACGGATCTACCAAAGCAGCTGTCTGGGGGCTCGAAGGAGAGGAAAAGTGGACAGCCTGGGAGAGCAGGCTTGGCTTGAGGGGCTGGACGTGGTTGGAGATCCAGGCCAGGCCGGCATTCCATAGTCCGGGAAGAACAGCTTCCACCTGAACTATGTAATCTGGTAGAAAGCCAGTGGCCAACCAGGGTGGTGGTGGGGGCAGCGGGAGAAGGTAGGGGAGCAAAGGTAAACCAGTAAGACAGAGCCGAGGGCCCAACGATCCAAGCTGGCCTCCTGGGGAGGCATAAAGCCAGGATGGCCAAGAATGGTCAGTCAAGCTTTAACCCCAGAAAGCTGCTTAGAGAAACCCACTACTGTGAACTTTTACGGACGCACAGACATACACAGCAAAACTTCCTTTCTCAGAAGGGAGATTGTTTGTATGCCATAGGAGGCTCTTGTGGGAGCTCAGATGCAGGATACTGGCAGGAGGGGAAAAGGGAGAAGCCAGGTGTCCAGGGCGAAGTCTTGAGCTGGGGGCTCTGGTTTGGCAGCAGCATAAACCTACTCATGCAAGGAAATAGACAGTGCCAGGAACATTAAGTGTCTGAGCCCAGCCCTGGGGGTACATCTTACCCCCAGAAGCCTTGGGGAGGAACAAGAGTCTCTGGCTAAGTCCCAGCCTGGAGACCCCACCTGCTTATTGGGTAATTCTTTGGGGTTCTCTATTGGAGTAGGTACTACGAGACTGGCAGCATCCGGCCTGGAGTGATAGGGGGCTCCAAGCCCAAGGTGGCCACCCCCAAGGTGGTGGAGAAGATTGGAGACTACAAGCGGCAGAACCCCACCATGTTTGCCTGGGAGATCCGAGACCGGCTCCTGGCGGAGGGTGTCTGTGACAATGACACTGTGCCCAGTGTCAGCTCCATCAATAGGTGAGAGGGACACAGCCGCTGGGTTGAGGGGAGGGGAGGAGTCAGGGCACCTGGGCTTTGGGGGAACCATGATAGAGACCCAAAGGAGGGCTGGCTTGGGTGGAAGAGAGCCTAGGAAGGGCCCTCCTGCTGAAAAACTAAGCAGGAAGCACCCCAGGTGCTACAGGGCAAGATCCACACCTCTCCACTGCTCTGCGACACTCCTGTCCCCACCCACCCCACCCCTAGTTGTACTTTGCCAGTTTCCTTCCTCACACGCTATATCCTCTTTCATTCGATAAAAAAAATCCTGAAGTGACCCTTTCCTGGGCCACACGACCCCTAACCTGGCCCTCATTCAAGCATTCACTCAATTGTTTGGTCATTCAATTATTCACTCATAGCCTCAATCAATCATTTACTCACTCATTCATTCCCATATACGTAATTCACTCATTATGTGCTAGGCCCCCGGGAACACACAATCCTTGTCCTTGTGGAGCTTATAGTCTAGTGAGAAGACAGATACTATCAAGTACTGAGTGCCCCCACACACAATTGTAAAAATGCAGCTCTCAGTCCTCCTAGGGAGAGGAACATGAGGTATGTGAGCTAGCATGGGGTGCTTGGTTTAGGAAGGAAAGAAAAGATGTCCCTGAGAAAGAAACAATGAGTAAGAGTTAACTAGGTAAAAAGGGAAGCCAAAGATGCTCTGAGACAACACACGCAAAGGCCCTGTGGTTCACAGATCTTAGACAAGAAGCTGAAAGGAAGCCAGCAGACAGAAGGGGAGCACAAGGTAGACTGAGGTGGAAATATCAGCAAAGACTGCCTTTTAGAGGCTGATGGCCGTGTCACATATTCTTGCCTGTGATCCATAAGAAATGGGACAGACTGTCAGCAGGAGGCTGAGTTGCATTTCAAAATGTCCACTCTGGGTACAATAGGGAGAACAGATCAGAAAAAGTCAAGAGCAGGTAGGGATGAGCCAGTGAGGGATCCCTGAGGGAAAGAACTGGTGGTGGCCTGAATTAAGTTGCTGACAATGACATGCAGAGAGGAGTCAAAGCTGGAGAGATTTAGAAGGTCAAACCCAAGAACTTCATGATGGCTTTGATAGAGGAGGGAGGGAGGCAGAGGTGAAACCCCACCAACATTTCTATCTTGAGTGCCCAGTGGAACTGATCATGAAACAGGAACACTGGGAAGGACCAGGTGTGAGGAGTGAGGCCAGGGGATTGGTTTTAGACATGCTGTCCTTGAGGCATCTCTAAGATACCCAAGAAAACTCAGAAAGGCACGGGATCCCAGGCCTCGTGAGTCCTGTTTCCTCCTCTTCTCTCTAATGCCCTTTCTGGTCTTCCTTACAGAATCATCCGGACCAAAGTGCAGCAACCGTTCAACCTCCCCATGGACAGCTGCGTGGCCACCAAGTCCCTGAGCCCAGGACATACGCTGAGTGAGTGCTGATGTGCTGGCACGCTCAACCTTGCACACACACACCCATGTGCAGACACATAGTCACACACACGCCCACACAGACACACCCACTGGCATGGACTGAGACCTTCTGCAAGGACAAAGCATCGCTGGATCCCGGGAAAGATGCACTGACACACTTAGGGGCAGCAACATTTCAAGCAGCCTCCATTCCAAGAACCCCTCCCACAGGGAACTCTGAGGGGTGTCCCCCCTCCATGTGCTAACCCTCTCCCTCTCATCCCACTGCAGTCCCCAGCTCGGCTGTAACCCCCCCAGAGTCACCCCAGTCAGACTCTCTGGGCTCCACCTACTCCATCAACGGGCTCCTGGGGATCGCTCAGCCAGGCAGCGACAGCAAGAGGAAAATGGACGACAGTGAGTGTCAGGGAACCAGAGGGCAGCTTGGGGTGCAGGAGGGTGGTCTGCTCAGGCTCCAAGGGGACTGGTAGCTCCAGACTTTGCAGAGGCCGGTGACTCCTGCCTACAGCACATGGCCTGTCCCTAAGCTGGCCACAGTCCCCCAGCCTGGAGCCGGGTCCTCCCATCCCTCTGCAGCCCAGAGTCTGCCCCTCCAGTCCCGCCTGGGGCATGGGTAGGTGGGTCCCCTGAATGCTTTCTCCCTGCCTGGGGACGCTAGGTGACCAGGACAGCTGCCGGCTGAGCATCGACTCCCAGAGCAGCAGCAGTGGGCCCCGAAAGCACCTGCGCACGGACGCCTTCAGCCAGCACCACCTGGAGCCGCTCGAGTGCCCCTTCGAGCGGCAGCACTACCCAGAGGCCTATGCCTCCCCCAGTCACACCAAAGGCGAGCAGGTGAGCAGCCAGGTGAGTGGTGGTGCAGTGGCAGGCAGGGGCCGCCCCCCAGCACGGTCTCGGGAAGACTCCTAGTCTGCTTGCTGCTTGCCACCAGATCAACCAGAAGTTGCAACAGTGGGCCCAGGGCGCGTGCTTCCTGCGGCTCCTTGCCGAGTCAGCCTTTATTTTACCAGATGCTGGTACCTTCCTCCTTCTGCCCCCAGCCCCCTCGCCTTCCCTCACTCTTAGCCTCGGAGCTCTGCCCTTTCCCAAAGAGCGACACACCCAGGCTTCGCCTTCCCTCTGTCCTCTGCGGCTTTCCCAGAGCGCAGGGTCAGGTCCCACAGCTCCGAAGCGGCAGCTAAAAGCCCTACACCATGACCTTGACCAGCACCGCCAGCCTACCCCCAGCCACTCACACCTGCACACCATAAGATCTGCTTTACTCACGCTCCCGAGCATGTCCTTCCCGTTCACACCTCTCTGCCCTGGCACACACATGCCCGCCCCGTGGAGCGCCTTGCCTTCCACCTTCCTGCCTGGAAAAGTACTGCTTGGCTGTCATCACGAGTCAGCTCAAGCACCCCTTACCCACGATTCGAGCCCTGCCCCACAGCCATGCTCCATGTCTCCCTGGTCCATGCTTCTGTCCATCCAGCACGCCACCCTAGTAACTTCTCACAGCCTACTTTAATTGCCCAGGGGGCAGAGGTGTAGACAGCGGGTTTCCTAAGGCAGGGCAGCATCTGGAAGCATTTTTTTTTTATTTTATCTCCAGCTCCAACATGGTGCCCCTCTTAGAAGAGACACTCAGTAAAGTGGTATTAGTGAGTGAGCTGAGAAATCCATAACAATGAATTGCAGGTTGCGGGGGAGTTTTGATGTCTAGTGCTCAGGACAGGTAAAATGGTTTACAGTGGGTCCACTTCTGGGAAAAGCTAACAGAGATGTCCCTGGTCTCCCCACTAATGCCAGCAGAGACTCCACAGCTCCGACAGAACTTTTAGGACCACTGGCCCCTCCGTTCACTTGTATCTGTCCACAGTAGCAGTGGCTCCCATCCCCACCCCCATACCCCCTCTCCAGGTCAGCCAGCTGAGGAATTCCCTTAGGGTGGGTCTGCTCACCCCACTTTGCTCATGCTGTCATTTGATCCGGGAGTGAGGCAAGCCTTACGCCTTGAAAGTCTGAGCAGGACAATGTGGACGAGGCCAATAAGGGGCTGAACCACGGCCAGTGACCGTCTGGGCTGCTGGGCCCATGCCAGCACCGCAGCTGGCTAGGCAATCTGCGTCAGCGATTTTTATCAGCCTGGGCTATGGCCACCACGAGGGGGTGCAGAAAAAGTTGGCCGTCAGCAGACCTGGGGAGAGGGCCCGAGTGCTCATCTGAGAGTCAGCACACGGCTCCCCGAGGGACGAGGAGCTGCAGCTCTGGGCTCCCTCACAGGGAGCCCTCTCTGAGTGCAAGCACCAGTTTTCCTGCAGAAATCCTGCTGCCTATACACTGGGCACCTGCTGGGTCCCAGAGCCACCTCCTGGCTCCACAGCTGAGCCCCCAGAGGGCCCCGCCTGATGATGACAGGGAGACTGAGACCAGCACCAAGCTAGCCCATGCACGTAGGGAATCAGGGTCTTAGAGAGTCCTGGAGCCACAGGGACCTTGGGGACCACGAAGCCCAGTCTTTCCATTTGTGTGGCGATAACCCAGGGCTGGGGAGGGTAGACAGAGCCTGGGGGAGTGAACAGTTGTGGAGCTCAGGTCTGCCGGCCCTGGTTTCCTTCTGACTGGCCTGCCGGCTCCCTGTTTTAGATACAATGCTTCCACATCAATTCTCACTCGAAGGCTAGAGAAAGAGTTTGAAAACCATGGACCTGCTCCAACCTCTTGTCCTATAGATAAGGAAGTGGAGGCTCGGCAGTGTCCATCCACGATTCATTCCTCCCTCAGCCAATCTGCTCGCTCATTCATTCACCCGGCTTGGGTGGTAAGGGGCAGGGAGCGCCCAGCCTGTGCTGAGGGCTCCCTGTGTCTGAGCCCCTGCCTCTCCTGCCCTTGGTGACTCGGACTATGTCATCCAAGGACACTGTGTGCTCTCACCTGGCCCCAGGAAGGCCCTCTGGCCTGGGGAGCTGAGAGAGAGAAGCACAGGTCCTCACACCCGACCTCAGGATGGGGGGAAGGCACAACCATCTTCCCTATCAGATCGACAAGGGGAAAAGCATTCAGCGGAAATGCCACGTGGCCTCACTCCTGGTTCTGGTTGCTGTTTCACCACTAGGCACAGCCAGGAGTCACAGTGAGGAACAGTTCTTTGTCCTCTCTTTTATGAGTGCAACAAGAACACATCAGCTGAATGTGAATATTATGACAGCGACTGAGAACTTTGCAGCTTATGAGTCTGCACAGAATTCAGAAATAATAATACCTTTTAGAGCAATGTCCTGGGCATTCTGTGCTAAGCATTTAATGTATGTATAAAAAAATCTCATATAGTCCTTACATCCGCCTGGTGACGCAGATTCAATTTTCCCTGTTAAAGGGATGAGTGGCTGATCACGGCAGACCCAGGCCTCAAGCTGGCCCACGTGCTAGGGCATTATGTCCCTGTGCACCCGGATTCAAGTTCAATCCCAGGAAGAAACCCGGCCATCACTGGGATGACTGAGGACTTTGGGGGGAACTGGGGGACATTTTATTTCCCCACTGAACTATCTGGATTTGGGAAAGCTAGGGATTTTGAGTTTGTATTTGTTATCAAATCAACACAAACATAAGGCATTTTAAACTTTTCTTAGAGTCTCTAGAAATTAGGTATTTTGCTCAATTTCATTAAGCCTGGCTCTAAGCAGCTTCCCCCTACCTGGAAGCAGGCCCCCCTCAGAAAACCATGGAACGAGAGAACCATTCATGACATGACAATGGTGCCCTGGTGGCCTCTAGAATTGCCTGCAGCTTCCAGAAGTGCCTGGCAGGCAGCCCGAAAGCACCGTGGCCCTTTGGAGAACCCAGCTCCACAGAAATCGTTGGAAGTGGACCCATTATGTAACCACGGAGCATTCCTTGCTTTTACCGTTGCACGCAGAGTGTGTTTGTGATGTGTGTGACCCACACACAGAGGACAGGTGTGTGCTTGTGGGTGCTGTCCTGTCCCCCCCTTGTAGTGCACGCTTGCCTGTAACTGAACAAGGGAGAAAGAAAACCCCACAGGTACTTAATAAAGAGGTTTTTTGTTTTTTATTTTGTTTAAACAAAATTAACCCCAAGGATCACCTTCCAGCAGAAGCAGCAAATTAAATTGACTTGGATATAGAGGAGAGGAAGAAGACAGCCAACTGTTGGGGGGGGGGTGGCCGGTGGGGTTGAGGGGGGGTTGTTATATCTGCCGCTTCCCTGAAGGGAAGAGCACCTGCGGCAGCTTAGCACCTGTGTCACTCTTGCCTGGGGACTTGCCTCTCCGGGCTTCAGGCTCTCCACTTATAAAACAGACACATTATTGCCTGCCCACGTCACAGGGCTGTGGGGGTCAGCGGACAGGATAAAGTGGGCAAAGCACTAATGCGCGCCCTTGGCAAACGGCTGTGGTTATGACGTCATCCAGTTGAGTGCAAGGTTGGGGAACATGGACAGGAGAGCCGGACCCTTAGGTTTCCATCCTGCCTCTGCCCCCTAGGGGAACCTGCCGGGTTTCGTGGCCTCCGCAGCTGTGTTTCCCATCTGGAGAGGCATAAACCAATAAATGGGTGAAGCACTCTGAACCCCGCCATGGAGAGACGACTCCTGCCCTGCAGCCTGTTCTCTGAGGGTCCAGGCCCTGTGGGGTCAGCCAAGCCATCGAGCCACCAGGTGGCTTTGAATCCCGGGGCTGCACAAGCAGAAGCTGGGAGCCGGGGATTGGGAGAATAGTGGGGCCGCGAGTCCAGTGAGAGAATAAGAAACCCAAGAACCCATTGAACAGGCTAAGTGGAGTCCAGCTGGAGTGCAAAGAAGGAAGAAAGGAAAGGAGCCTTTCTGCGCAGATCAGGTCTCAGGGTCCCCTAGTGAGGACTGACGCCAGGGGACCCCCACACGCTGACTTCTCTTTGTTCCCCAGGGCCTCTACCCGCTGCCCTTGCTCAACAGCGCCGCCCTGGATGATGGCAAGGCCACCCTGACCCCTTCCAACACACCCTTGGGGCGCAACCTCTCAACTCACCAGACCTACCCGGTGGTGGCAGGTACGATGCCTGGAATGTCCTGGGCCACGTGGGCCCAGCTGCGCAGAGGGGCTGGAAGGCAGAGCGTGGACGGCCCTGAGGCGGAGGGGGCTAGGGCCCTGGGCCTGCCGAGGAGAGGTGGGCTGTGCCGGCTGGGCCTCCGTGGGTACAGAGGGTCCGGCCTCCCGGTGGCCACCGCCTCCTCCGCGCTCCCCCACCGCAGTGGGGGAGGGGAGGGGGGCGCACACAGTCCTTCCGCACCTCAGAGGCACAGCAACGGAGGCAGAGCTTCTGTCTCCCCAGCCCCCACTCACCCCGAGGAACACGCGTAGCCCCTCCCGTCACCCCCAGACTCAGAGAGGAGCCGCCTGCCCCAGCGCCCCGCCCGCTCTCCCCCAACCCCACATCTCATGGCTGGGTTTGTGCATGTGCCCACCCCATCATCTCACACCCCTCTCTCCTTGTTGTCTCCCTCCCTCCGGCAGATCCTCATTCACCCTTCGCCATAAAGCAGGAAACCCCCGAGGTGTCCAGTTCTAGCTCCACCCCTTCCTCTTTATCTAGCTCCGCCTTTTTGGATCTGCAGCAAGTCGGCTCCGGGGTCCCAGCCGGTGCCTCGGTCCCGCCCTTCAATGCCTTTCCCCATGCTGCCTCCGTGTACGGGCAGTTCACGGGCCAGGCCCTCCTCTCAGGTACGACAGGGAGGTCCCCGGCAGCTCTCGCGGGGGGTGGGAGCGGGGGGATCTCAGGGCCGGCCACCAGTCCCCTGCTTTGGGGTCCAGCCCCCTCTCTCGCCCTCAGTTCTGTCTGCCATCACTCTATTCCCTAAATCTTCCCACAACTTTTGGACATGCCCATATGTGGTGCTCTGTGCTGGCAACATCAGGAGGTGGGAGGGGCAGTCGATGCCAGGAAGAGGGGTGCCTGGCTGATTTCTAGAAACTTGCTCCAAAGCCCCATGGACAAGCAGGGACGTTAAGGTCAGGAGCTGGGCAGTATAAAGCAGTGAACGCTTGGTTAGGGTGAGAAATAAAAAAGAAGGAAAAAAGAACTTTGGAGGGGAAAAAGTCATTGGCTTTTGTAGCCAATGAATGGACCAAATTTCTAAAGACAACAGGGTCTGTCCCCATTGGGTCTCCATAGTGTATCTCTTCTTATACCCAGCTTAGCTGTGTCACCCTTGGAGAATACTGAAGCAGAGTTACTCACCAGCTTGAGAGATGGGAGAACAGGGGGACCTCCCATCAGGAACTTCACTGGCTCAAAACATTTAAAGCTGGAAGCACTTAGGGGCATCTACAACAAATCTCTCCTTACACAGGAAGGAGAAGGGCCTGGTTAAGGTCCCTGAATAGGCATGTGGTGTCTGGCAGAGTGAGGGCTCAACCTGCATTCACCCCAAGTTATAAATCAAACTGGGTCTCCCCAGCAGAAAGACATCAGCCCATCCACCCAAGGCCTGGGCAGTAGCTGAAAGAGTTGGGGTGTCTGGCTTGGGCAGGAGGCCTGGAGTGGAATAAGCAAAGGGAGCAGAGACCCATTATCATCTCCAGATATCAGATGGGCTTCCCCAGCAATGGGACTATTTGAGATATGGGCCCAAGGTATTGAACTAGAACCCATGGAGGAAGCCAGAAGTGAAGCAGCCCTTCTGGGCCAGTGGTTTTCAACTTTCTGGGCCTCAAAACACTCTCTTGAAGTGACAGCTTTTACAGAAGCCAGGTATCCAAACCAGACAAATGAAGAGCTACTCTGTCTGAAGCAGGGACTCTGCCCCTGAAAGCCCTTGGACCACCAAACTAGAAAACCAAGACCTCTGCCTGCCCAGCGGGACCACAATGTCGTCTTATTCACGTTCACAGACCCTGTCGGATAGCTGCCTCTATATTCTGTCTGGCAGGCACCCGGGATTTTTATTCTCTGTGCATGCCCACGTCTGATGTGGAAGGTCCTCTTGGAAGTAGTGGGCACAGAGGTAAAGGGTTAACAAAGGAAGTCCAGTGTGTGGGCTGAGAGACAGTGTTTCGGGGTATGGAGCAAGGAAGCAAATGTTGACTCAGAGTTCAAAATTTCAAAAGCGGGTGAAGTCAGCGGAGATGGGTCATTTGTTTTGACCAAAGTGATTAAAGGAGAAAAATCCGTGAGCTGAGTGGGATGATGTCAGCCAGATAAAATGGGATAGGGAGGGTGGGAGGCGAGCCAGGGAGTAAAGGGACTCACATCCCCTGCAGGGTGGAGAGGCCCGATCGTGGGTGAGGCTGCCCGCTTCGTGTGAATGGCAGGCCCAGAGCAGGAGGGCTGTGGTATGGCAGCAAGGGGTGAGGTGTGGGTGAAGCATGTGATGCTGGGGAACGGGATTTTGGTTACTGTGTAAGTCGCCCAGAGACTTGGCAGGCCCGGTTGAGTGGAGAGGGAAGGGCAGGTGGCCGCGGGAAGCGGTCTTGGATAGTATGAAGTATAGTTGGAACAGCCCGGGGCAAAGTGCTCCCCCCACAGCCCCCCGCCCACTTTCTCCCCTCTCCGTCACCCTGTGAGGGCTTCAAGCACCCCCTGTCGACATGCAGTCAAACCGGGTGCTGCTTCCACTCTTTGCCAGTTCTTAGACTAGTGGCCATGCCCACTCTCCAGACCATCGGCAGGAATGGAAGGTTATCCACCGCATGGGGTAAGGAAGATGCCAGGGTGCCGAGCGTGGCCACTGCGAGAGCCAGTGGGGGGCTGCAAGGCCCAGAAGACGTGGCACCAGAGGCAGGAGTTCACAAAAGCAAGAGGTGCCCAGATTTGGAGGGACTGGGTCCAGGCAGGTTGCTAAGAGCAGGAAGCAAGTCAGGGCTGCGGTTCACAGAGTTGGGCCAGCTCTGTAGCTAGGGATCAGCGTGTTCATGCAGAGCCCCGGGTGTTGACCCTCAGCTCCTTGAAGACCATCCACCTGCGGCCTCTGGTCAAGAATGGGCCTAAATGCCTACCCTGTGGCTGAGCCGTGGTGATCGGGCTGTGAGGAGATCCAGGGAGAAGGAAGGCTAGGAGGAATGATCTCAAGAGTCCAGGGGCCTAGAAATTGACCCAAGGGAGGAAGAGGTCAACTTGAAAGGAAGGGAAGGTAGCCCAGACTGAATTATTCTGAGGTAGTGCTGCAGACCAGAGGAAGGGGCAGGACCAGCTGAGTTTTCCTTCCAGATTCAGCATGGCCCGCCCAGCTCCCCTCCTCTGAGTGGCTTCCTAAGGATCCTCCCAGCTGCATCTCCATCTCCCCCTGGGTTCACCTCCTCTCCTCGCTCAGTGGCTCTGATTGTGTGATTTCCAGGGTGACTGTCCTTCTGGGTCTCAGCTTCTCCCTAATTAGCCAAAAAAGTAGCATCAGGGTTTGGGGAACAATAGGATTGCCCCTAATATTCCTGTTGTTTCCCTTCAGATGCCACGGTCTGGGTCCCAACACACTTGCAGGAGTGATATCAAGGCCATCCCTGTCCCTCCTGTCCTGGGGCTGATTCCAGCTCAGCTGATCAGAAAGCTCTGAGTTTGGTTTTATCATCAAAGAGTCCATTACCCGCCTCCATTCTTTTGTGCGAAATTATATTTAGTCCTGCCAAAGAGATTTCTGGATTGCTATAAATTTTCTTTGCTATCAGAACAAGATAAGGAATTGAAAAGGGGTCACATAGAGGGCAGACATCAAAGTGGACAAATAAAATTGTCTGCAATCACCTCTACCCTCTGAATTCCTCGGAGGAATGCTACCAATATTTAGAACTTTTACCAGTATTTCTGGGGCGCTAGTGTTTTCTTATAGAACCCTACTTCATAGCCAGCCGACATGGGCCTGTGTCTACATCACCTTCTGAAAAACAGGGCAGTGTTGGAAGTATATTTGAGTGCTGATTTACAAATCAAAAAAACTCATGAGGAAGAGCCTTAAAAAGAAGTAAGTCAATTAAAGCTCATGGTTAGGCCACGTTGGAACTCATGTACTCATGGTTTCTGTGGTTTCATTTCTGAGAAGTTCGCAAGGTTCGCGGCTTTTTGGAAGAAAGCACTTATGTAAGGAACGGAAGCAGAGTTTTGAGGGATTGACAAGGAAGTTAAAGGGGCCACAGCCTGGGTGAGAGCCGTTCTATAGAAAGTCTTGCTAGGCTTTCGAGGAGGGCCAAGTTTCCTGGAAGCCTTTGGGATGTGCTCTGGCATTTGATTCAGAAACTTCTGTCCCACCGGGAGAAAACTTGGGGACTGAGAAGAGGTGAAGATTGAAATCTCAGAATTTAAGGGAGTGAGGCTGATGAATGTATTTCTAAGAGCAGTCTAAGGGCTGGTTTCATGGGATGGGGTCCCACAGGGCAACTGCGGCTAAATTAAATTGTGGCTTCAGGGGAGCCCGTGCCCCAGGGCTAGGTCCACGGAGCTGCAAAGCTCAAGAAGCAGTAGGATCAGGTGATGGGACAGGATGGATGAGGGTGGGAAAAAGGGGAATGTGGGACCACAAGAGGCCTGGAGAGTACCTAGGCCAGCACCAGCAAAGAGGTGGCCTAAGAGCCAAGACTGACCTCCTCACCTCCAGCCACGGTCTTGGTAGACACAGAAATAGCCTCAGAATCCTGCTCAACACAGTGTACCAGGGAGCCCCTACCAAAGAATTTAGGGGTAAGCTGAACCTAATTTGCATTCTCTTATTTAACCTAGCTCTTCACGAGACAGACAGGAAGATGTAATTCAGAGCAATTAAGGGGTTTGTCGCTCAGCCACAGTCTGGCTTGGATCTAGAAGCAGGAGGAGGAAAGAGAGAAGGCATCAGGCTTGAATTAGCCACCACCCTTTTCCATCACTCTCCTTTGCATGCACCTGTCTACCCTCTGTACCCCTGCCACCCCCACAGGCTTCTTGTCACCCCTTTCTCTCATAGGCTCCGATCCCTGGCCAGGTGCTTCATCTGAGGGCTGAAGGGGCTGAGTCAGAGCGGGCTGTATCGCACTCTTCTTGGAAGAGAGACCAGACTTTACCTTGGTATAGCTCCCTCTACTTCTGAATATACTGAAATTTCCTTGCCTCACCTGGGTTTCCAGTCCCTCATCTGTCTGGACCCTGGGGCAAGTGAACTGAACCCACCTGTAGAATTTGGGTAGATTCTTCCCTGTTTGGTCCAGCATCAACCACAGCCGGACATTGTACTGAAGTCAAACGAATTAGGAGGTGGTGTATGAAAACTTTCACATAGCTTTAAATAATAAACACTGATGGCTCATTCAAGTAAGATTTGTTCTGTAATGGTTCCCATGACATGTAGCAATTTATAGAATGTGTCCTTTGCCCTGCTCAGTGTCCACCTGTAGCATGGAACGCTGGCTCTGAGCTATGCTGGTCATACTGTAGCAGTAGTAATAAGGTGCATAAGGCTACTCTTGCTGTTTTCCTCCCACTTTGCACACAAAGACACAAGCTTGGGCACATAGGTGGCTCGTCTGAGGGCACTTGGAAAATTAGCTGTAGCAGCAGACTAAGGACTGAGGTCCTCTGGTTCCTACACCGTTCCCTCCAGAGAAAGGGCAGAAGCCCGGAAGGCCGGGTCTTGTCTGCTGACCCCCAGGCTTGCCTCCACACACCCATCCGATCTTGTGCCCCATCTTGAGTTAATGGCGGCCTGCTAATTTAGCATTCTTATTCACTGCTATACCCCCAGTACTCAGAAAAGTGCCTAAGACATCATACTTACTCAAAAAATCTTTACTGAATGCACAAACGGTCTTCAGGAAATCCCTAGAAATCAAGGTAAGAGTTAGTCCCTCTGGTATCGACGACTCATAAGGTTCCATGGGACGTACCTTCCCTCTCATCATTCCTGGCCACCCGTTGGAAGAGTTTGAAGCATGCAGGACCTGGGGCGAGGGGGGAACCTTGGGGGGAAAAAAGTTGGACAAGCAGGGATATAGAGAGAATGACCTTGGCAAGTTGGTTGACAGGCTCACAGGGAGTCCATGCAAGTCCTAGGAGAAGAAGCAGCCCCTTTGCGGAAGAGGCAGAGGCATTTGGGGGAAATGGTCATAATCGAACATAGTGGTTCTCTACCCAGGACGATTTTGCCCCCTGGGGACATAGGGCAATATTTAGAGATATTTAGGGTTGTCACACGGCAGGGGCGGGGGAGGGGGCGGGGCTGCTACCTTCTGAGTAGATACCACGGGCGCTGCTGAACGTCCCGCAATGCAAGGAACAGCCCCCACACATAGATGGCACCAAATGTCAAGAGTGCTGGAGTTGAGGAAATCCTATAACCATCACCAAGAACTGGGTTGACCAAATAATTCATCACTCACACTGGGCATTTGAGAGTGAAATGGGCATTATTAATACATATGCTGGCATGGGGGTCCTAACCTGGGCAGAAGTGGGCAAGCCAGGATGTGCTACCAAGAATCCCTGGGTGAGGGAAGAGTTCGATCCAGGCCTGTGGGACATGATGGCTGTGGAAGAAACACAGCCAGTCAGATGGGGGCCTCCAAAATGGGAAGGCTTGACTTCTGGGTATAAGGAAGAAGTAAAGCCAGAGCAATCAGACAGGTCTCCAGTGCCACTGAGGCAAGGGCATTATAAACAGAGGGGGGTGTCTGTTTTACTGAAAATGTGGGGTTTTCCCTCCCTCAGAAATGGGGTTACCAGTTGTCTAGTTCATGTTCACATGTAAACGCTAAGTATTTCCCAGCCCATATCTGCTTTCTAGGTCAGGGATCACCAGTAGGTTTTGTGTCCCTCACAGCTCTGACAAGAAGACCCTCTCTGGCCCCCTGGAAAACAGTACAACGATTGATTAGCAGTGTCTGCCTCGGGTCCAGAAAAAGGGTGGTGGAAGGTAGTGGCCCAAAGGCCACACATGTGCCATCCCTTGCTCCTGAGCCTCAGAGCTGGGGCTGGGAGACCATGAGTCTGAGTCCAGTGGCCTCTAACCTATTACTTATGGCTGCACCCACTGCTGTTCTCGACGCTGGCGGGATAACAAGGACCCAGAAGACATAGCCTCCAGCCTCCCTCCAACACCATGAGATTTTTGTGGGTGAATTAAGATTCACACAAGTGAAATCATTGGATAATACAGGACTGCACTAGGTCGGTGCTCCCTGCATGGTGCGGCCTGTGCCCTGCAGCCTGGGCAAATGAGGAAAGCCTGAACTCGGAGAAGGGAGGAGGGGGAAGCAGATTTGGAGAGTGGCTTTAGAGAAAGCTGTCCTTGGCACTAGGAAAGACTTGCTGAGCCTCAGGGAAGCAAGACAGGAAGTGCCGGAGCCCACAGTAGCTGAGCTAACGATTCCTCGCTGTATTTTTCCAGGGAGAGAGATGGTGGGACCCACACTGCCCGGATACCCACCCCACATCCCCACCAGTGGACAGGGCAGCTATGCCTCTTCTGCCATCGCGGGCATGGTGGCAGGTAAGGAGGCAGGGGGCTGGGCAGGAGGGGAGTTCTACAAACAGGAGGTGTGGGCCAGAGGTGGAGCACAAGGGGACAGGAGGGAGGGTGTGTCCCATGCACAGACTTCCCAAAGGGCATGGAATGACCCACCAAAGGGCACATGTTGTAAATGCCTCCAGGCAAGATGTTAGTTCTGGCTCCTTAACTCTCCCCTGCTCAACCTCCCTCTTCCCACATGCTCCCAGACTCCCCATGATGAAATGGGCAGGGCAGAGACAGACCAGTGTTCAAATCCAAGCTCTGCCACTTCCTCCATTGACTCAGTGAGCCTTGATGGAGAGCCTTGATGGAGAGTGCTCTAGGGGTCCACAGAGCAATGTGAGCTAACACTAGCCTGACCTTTGAACCATCCATGGTCTTGCAGGCATTTCTCTCCGGTGAATCTATATGCCCTTTCTGCAGTCTGAGTGTGAATGGTGTTGGTGATGATGATGATGATGGTTGGACATATACCTTCCTTTACACCCCACCCCCACTCAACCCTGTATGGGTGGGACCTATGTTCTAGGGACTCCCAAGGTACGCCAGGAGACTTGCTGGGAGGATTTCTCCACCATCATTTGGACCATCCTGGATTCCTGTCTGCCAGTCCTTTGGGTTTCTTTATCTACCAGCATGATCATTGCCCAAAAGTGACCCGGGGTGTCAGGGTCTAGGCGAGGGAGGAAGACAAGGAGTGAGTCGCACTCCCTCTGTTAGGGAGTTATGGGAAGTTATGGGAGGGACCCAAGGGTGGATAGGGCAGAATCAAGCCATTTCTACTGCCTCAAGAGGCCCTAGGACCTGGAGCTTCTGGAACAGGCTGTGAATCAGGGCATCTGTGACCCCCATGCCAGCCTCTGTGGCTCTGACCCCAGACCCTTAGCAGATACACCCAGGCCTGCTTCCCTCCCTCCCTGGCAGGGACTGTTCTTTGTCAGCCACCCACTCTGGGTGCCCAATGCTGAGGCAGGTGGGCTGGGCTCTCCTGGCTCGGGGGCGGGGAGGGAGACTGGAGGGAGGGAAGGAGGCTCCGAGCTCCCTGGGAACCTGCTGAGCTGGCACTTGTTGCCGGCCTGGTTACCGTGGCGATGTGCTTAATGCAGCGTTGAAAATACAGAATACTGACTCCTCTCTCCCTCCTGGCCCTGGACTCCCTCCCTCCCTCCCTTCCTCTTCTGGAGCGTGAAATGAGATTGGTCAAGATAAAAAAGGAAAAGATTCGGTTATTTTTTTAAGAGTGTGGATAATGGGGCCTCTCAATCAAAATCCCAGGCTCCAGTCGGCTCCCCCATCCCCCTCCCAACCTCTCCACCTTCCAGACCGCCTGCTTAGAGGAGGAGGAGGGAACAGAAAGCACAGGGCTTTTCTCTTAATTATGAATCATTCCCCAGGGCCAGGCCCAGGGCAAGGGGGTCCAGGAGCCTGGAGTCTGACCTGGGAGGTAGCTGGAAGGTTTGGGCCTCTCATCAAAGGCCCCCAGGTGTTTCAAGAAATATCTCATCCTGAGTGAGTGTGGTGGGAAAAAAGGAAAAAGAAAAAAAAAACACACAATACGGTTGATGAACTGCCATTGAATTGCAAAAGGGTGGGCCTTGCCTTGCATGGTGCATGGGCTCCCAATCAGTTGTGTGTAAATAAGTTTCCAGAAAATTTAATGCATCATCTGGGTCCTAGGAATGCCACGGTACAAATGAAGTCTTTTTTTTTTTTTTTAATTTATTTGATCAAGAAGGAGAGAGCACAAGCAGGGGGAGCAGTAGAGGGAGAGGGAGAAGCAGGCTCCCTGCTGAGCAGGGAGCCCGATGTGGGGCTCAATCCCAGAACCCTGGAATCATGACCTGAGCGGAAGGCAGATGCTCAATGGACTGAGCCAGCCAGGCGCCCTGTACAAATGAATTCTTAAGGAAGGTTGTGGTTTTTTCCCCATAAAATATTATTTGTCCATCTCTTACCAGTAGCCACAATCTTCCAATGGGCTGAATGGTGATGCTTTCCATTAAAATTAATAAACCTTCACTGATCCTCCTCTCTCTCTCTCTGCCTGCCTCTCTGCCTACTTGTGATCTCTGTCTGTCAAATAAATAAATAAAATCTTAAAAAAAATAAAAAATAAAAAATAAACCTTCACTAAGCAGCTACTGTGTGCTAGGTGCAGAACATGTGCTTAAAGCAAGGCATGCCAGTGACATTCTTCAGTCACTTGTGGAAGGAAGGTGAAGATCATTTATTATGCACTTCTGTGTGCCTGGTCATTCATAGATACAACTTTCTTGCTTAATCCTCACCATAGGACTAGGAGGCTGGTATTATTCTAGTTTAATATAGATAAGGAAACAAGCTTAGTGTGCTCAGGGTCTCCATGAACCGCACTACGTGGTTGAGTTGTTCAAACACAGGTCTTCTGATTTCAAATCTAGGGTTCTCCCTACTATATGGCACTGCCTCCCACAATACCAGAAATAACAACACAAATTCTAAGAAAGCAACACAAGAACAGGACCAGGACAAACTTCTCTTATCCATTCATCTTCTGTTTTGCCTTCTCATGGTTGTTGTTGTTCCTGCCCCATTAACAGAGTTGATGACCCTCACACCAGCTCTAGAGCTGACTGGCAACTCCAGACAGATGGATCCATTCATCCATCCACTCAGCTTTCCACTGTGTGTCTTTGTACACATTTTCTACCTATCCGTGCTTCTTCTTACCCATTCATCCATCCTTCCATCCTCCTTCTTTCCATTCATCTTTCCTTCCATCCATTGTTCCTTCTATGTACTCATCTATCCATCCTTTCTTACATTCATCCTTTCAGTGAGCCATCCATCCTCTATCCACCCATCCTCCATCCATCCATCCATCCATATATCCTTCCATACATCCATCCCTTCATCTATCCATCTTCCTATCATCCATCCTCCATTACCCAGCCTTTCAACCATTCTTGCATCCTTCCATTCATTCACCACCTTTTCACCTAACAAATGCTGGTTGAATCTCTATGGCATAGGATGCTAAGGGGTTATAGCAGTGAACAAGGCAGGTCCCTCTATTCATGGAGCTTAGGACCTAATAGTGGAGGGAAAAGTACAGTAAACAAGTCAATGAATGAATAAAGAAGATAATTTCAGATAGTGATAAGTGCCGTGAAGATAATAAAGTAGAATGATGTCACAAAGAGCCACAGGGAGAGGAGATAACTACTTTAGATTGGGTGAACAGGGAAGACCTCTCTGAGAAGGTGTTCAAAGTGGTCAGCCAAGTGATGAACTGGAGCAGGCCATCCCCAGCCCAAAAGAACAGCAAGTGCAAAGGCCCCGAGGCAAGAACCAGTTTAGCGTGATCACACATGAAAAGGGGGTGAGTATATCTAAGAACAGCAAGTGAATGGGGAAAGCATTACAAAAGGAGGGGATTTGGGGAGTGGCTGGGTCAAATTTTAAGACTACTCGGGCTGCTGGGAAAACAGTAGCTAGTCAAAAGCAGAAACACAGAGACCAGTTAGGGGAGGAACAATTGCAATAGTTCACTCAAGACATGACCGTAGGCACCTGGGTGGCTCAGTCGATTAAGCATCTGCCTTCGGTTCAATTCATGATCCCAGGGTCCTGGGATCAAGTCCCGCATGGGGCACCCTGCTCAGCGGGGAGTGGCTTCTCCTCTCCCTCTGCCCCTGTTCATGCTTTCTCTCTCTCTCTCTCTCTCTCAAATAAATAAATAAAATCTTAAAAAAAAAAAAAAGACAGATGGGGCTTGGGCTGGGGAGGTAGCAATGAAGGAGGAGAAAAGAGACACTGAGGCTATGTTAGTGGTACAGTCAACAATACTTACTGGTGATTTGGCTGTAGGGGTTCCAAAACAGCGGCTACAAGGATGACTCCTAGGCTTGGGACTTGGGAAAATGCATGACTGGTGGTGGTGGCAAGTAAAAATGTGGGAGACCAGGAAAGAAGGAGGTAGAGCATGTGGGACGTGGAAATCAAGAGTTCTATTGGCCCCAAGAGGATTGAGACACCTCCAAATACCCAGTTTAATAAGGTAGTAGCACATGATATATGTCTCAAGTCAGGAAAGAATTCTGGCTAGGGCATAAATTTCAGCCATCGTACTGAGCTGTTGTTTAATGCCAAGGGATTAGACAAGATCACTAGAAAGAGAATGTGGATGGAAAATCACAGAAGGCTCACAAACCAGGCCTTCAGCATTTAGAGCTCGAGGAGAGAAGAAACCAGCAAAGAGAGTGAGTGGGGGAGGACAGTGGATCCGGCAGCAGAGGCATCACAAAACCCAAAGGCGTTAGAAGGAGCGATGACCTGAATCACGTCAGCTAGGAGGTCAGGGGAGGGGATTGGGAGTGGAAAGGGAAGTGACCATTGCAATGATCGGGGTGGAAGTTGTGGGATTTTTCGGGGATCAGCACTCCCGACAGGAATGAGAGGTAAGGGCAGAAACCAGGAAGGAAGCACAGAAAGGAGCTGGTAGCCAGAGTTGGGGCAGAAAAAAACGATGCAGAAGATGGCAGAGCATGTTTGCTGGCTGGAGGAAGTGGTAATTAGGAAGGAGAGATTGATAGAGCAGAAAAGAAGGGATAGATTGTAGGGCCAAGACCTCGGAAGGGTGAGTGGGGTGGGATGCAGAGCAAAGGGTACAGGTGGGCCTTTCGTGGGTGTAGGGGCATTTCATCCATGTGGCTGGGGCAGGTGGATGGATCTGGTGGCGGGGAGAAGCTGCTCCCAGGCGTGTACCCTCTCCTGAGCCCCCAGCCCTACACCAGCTTCCGTGTAACCGGAGCACATAGGTACTTATGTGCTTCAGTAAGTAAGTGTGTGAGTGAGTGAAATGCATGGGTAAGTGACAAAATGAGAGAGGAAGCAATGTATTTTCCACCAATGTCTTCCTCGTGCTTCGGAGCCAGCAGTGTTTGGCACCAGGTGGAAGAAAAGTCACTGGGCTCCTGGCTTCCCCCTAGGGTGCTCTGATACCAGGCCTTTCTGGGGTCCACCAGCAGTAAATGGGGAACAGTTAGCATTGTGGGACACAAGGAAGACCCCTGGAGTAGGAGCGAGGGGCCGGGATTCTAGTGCAGGCTCTAACTGAACACGGGACCTGGGGTAAATGTCTCTCCCTCTCTGGGGAGCGGTTTCTTCATTCGTGATCCTCTGTTGAGCTTTATTCTAGCACCTGCTTAATGGGAAAATAATCAAAGTTAGCATGTCTTGAGTGCTTTTTATATAGCAAGTGTGGGGCTCACATTTAATGGATATTATCTAATTTAATCGTCCCTAAACCCCATGAGATAGGGACAGTAATTCACCCCATGTTACAGATGAGGAAATCAAGGCCTCATCTGTGACTGACCCAAGGTACGCAGCTGAGGAGTGGGGAGCAGAGGTTTGACTCCAGGCAGGCCAGCTCCGGATCTGGTGGTGGGGAGCTGGAGCTGGAAAGCTTGCACTTTCAAGCTTCCCTTCCAGAGTCTGTGAAAGAGATGGGAAGCCACAGAAGGTCCTCAGATCCCAACAGCAGATGAGGTTTTGAAAAGCTGTGCGGACTGACAGGGGATGGCGGGGTTGGCAGGAACCGGGTGTTGCGTCGGCTCGGAAGCACATAAAGGGATTATCTGGAACTCAGAGTTAGAGCCCTAAAGTCAAGTTCTGCTCTGCCATTTGCCAACGTGGGATTTGAGGCAAACTGCTTAATCCTGGGGCACTCCAACGTCTTCCCCTATAAACTGGCGGTATTAACGGGTGCTTCAGAGCTATCTGGTGAGGATAAAGGGGACGAGTGAGTGGGAAAGCGTTTTGCAGTCTTTAAGCTCCCTGCAGAGTATGGATGGTATTGGAGAGGGCTGCTTGGGTCTGTTGCTGTCGTGCAAGGGACTCCTTCTGCGATTTCTCTGGTCAGTCACTCCTTTGGTAAAGCTAAGAATCCTTCACCGAAGGTGGTGATCTGATCAACTTTGTTTCAATTCATGCATTGAGTTTGCTTCAAGGGACAGACTTGGAATGGGACAGGGAGGTCCTCAGAACAAGTCCCAGGACAGATTTTCCTACAGGGCTCCTCCCTCTGCTCTTTGCTCTAATCCTCACTCCGGACCCCCTCCCCTCCCCGCCACCGCCTCACCCCCACCCCTAACAAACTCAGACCTAGGGAGGCTAACAAGTGTACCTGCAGATTCTTTCTGTGGCGTTTCTGACCCCTCTCACTCCCTTCGGCCCCTCGTGGAATGGCCTTCTGCCGGAGGTCCACGCAGCAGAAAAATCGGCTGCAACCTGGGCCCTAGAGTCCCAGCACAGCTTCCAAACACCACTAAGCCCTTCAGCCTCGTGTGCTTCTGCAGATCTCCAAGCCTCAGCTTCTTTACCTGAAAAATGGGCCTTAAAATATCACCTCCCTCCTGGGGTAGCCGGGAGGACTGAGCTTGTCAGGGCAGTGCCTCTGGTACCTGGCAATAAAGGGCTCTGTCCAAAATGATGCAGACTAGGGGCCCCAAAGGTGGGTCCTCTGAGCTCACCTTGTCCTGCTCCGCTCCCCCTGTGCCCCAGGGCTCACCCAATGGCAGCCCTGCAGACCCTTCTCCCCACCCCCAAGCCTACGTTGGTGTGTCCACCTCACAGGCCTCTCACATGTGTGCCTCCAACAGGAAGTGAATACTCTGGCAATGCCTACAGCCACACCCCATACTCCTCCTACGGCGAGGCCTGGCGCTTCCCCAACTCCAGCTTGCTGAGTAAGTCCGCTGGGGGCCACCCAGGCCCTCTGCTGCATGGGGGTAGGGTCGGGGTACAAGGCTGGGCCAAAAATCCATCTGAAAGGCAGCCGGGAGGCCCAGATGAGATGGAGGGTCTGGGGAGACAGGTGTTCTTGGCAGGCCAAGCAGGTGGAGGGAAGCCAGAGTCCCTGGTTGTCTGGAGGGAAAGCACAGAAGCGGGAGACTTTTTTCTCCCTGTCATGCTCCCTCCTGCCGCCTGAGGCCATGTGTTGGGTGTAAGATTTGGGGCTCAGGCCTTGGGAGGGCAAGGGTGGACTCAAGAAAAGTCTCAGAGTGGACTTCCCATCTTCAGGGTCTCAGAGTGCAGCCGCGTCCAGCCACGGTGACATTGAGACACGGGCGCCCAGCAGGATGCCAGCTGCCCTCTGGCCCCTGGGAGCACGCTGTTGGCAAACGAGGCCATCCCGCTGTACACCTAAACCATCTCAGTGTCGCACGGGGGCTCATGACTCCAGACCACAACCCTTACATGGGATCCTTTGTTCACATTTCCAGTATTTGGCTTGACATGCAGATGCCCCCTTCTGTGGAAGGTCCAGAGAGTGAGCCATGGGTTCCCCTTCACCCCTCTCTTGCCCCGGAGCCATGGGCTGGATACAGAAGCTTTTTAGGAAATCAGGCCCCATAAATGGAAACTCAAGGAATTCTGCTAGCGTCTCCCTGAGCGATGACCTTGAGGGTCTCCGAGCAAACCTGAGCCCAGGAAAAGCAATGAGGCCAGTGTGGCCCACCCCATGGGCACCGTCACAGGCCTGGCAGGACCATCCATCTCCAAGACCCCCTCTCCTGCTGTGACCTCCTGGCATTCCAGAAGCTACCAGAAGGATGGCTCACCTGGGCTCTGTTTGCCAGATGGGTTCAACTCTAAGCCACCTTTCTGTTCGATTTTACCAGAAAGGATGAGGCTGCTGAGCTGGGCCAGGGGGCAGGGCACCTCCCTGCCAGCCCCACCTGGGCTGCCCTTCCTGCAGGTGGACAGAGTCTCCCCAGGGAGGCCCTCAAAGGCACATTTCCCCTGGGCACTCAGGATTCTAGTCCTTCTGGGCCCTAGGAGGAAGATTCTCTGACCTCTCACTGTTTGGGCAAGGATTGGGACGGCCTCAGGAATCCCCCAGTGTGCTTCGTTCTTCGGGGTTCCAGATGTAACTGCTCCCAATTGCCCTTTCCCTGAAACGAGGGTGTTGAAGGTCAAGGCGATCCTGGGAGGAGGGGCAAGAAGCCACGGTTCTCATTCTGGCCAGAAACCCGAAGGTGAGGCCAGAGAAGGAGGAAATAGGGCCGGAGAGGAGTTAATCTTTGATGATCAGATAGGCCTGAGGAGTAGATGATTAACTTGTGTTGTCTTCAAGGTTAGCAGATGCAGGAGAGGCTGTGTGGTGCAATTTCCCCTCTGACCAGCGGTGTGGCTGTTTTTGTTTTTTTTTTTTTTTACATGTCCAGGTTCCCCGTATTATTACAGTTCCACATCAAGGCCAAGTGCGCCACCCACCACCGCCACGGCCTTTGACCATCTGTAGTTGCTATGGGGACAGTGGGAGCAACTGAGCACCAAGGAGGACTTGGCCTGGGACAGGCCCCAGAGAGTCACACAAAGGAATCTTTATTTATTACACGAAAAATAACCGCAAGTCCAGCACTGCGGTGCACTCCCTGTGTGATTGTTTTAATGAACCATGAAAGACAGGATGACTTTGGAGAAGGCCACACTGTCCTCTAAGACTCCATAAGGAGGGGCAGGAGTCCCAGGGAAAGAGAGAACTGTTCCGTTCCAAAAGAGACACTATTGGAGGAGAAATGTGGAGAGAAGAAGGAACAGTCGAGGAGCTCGAGGTGGACGGCTCAGGGGCCCACAATGGGCTTAGGGCCCCACGGGGGCCCCCTGGCTCCTCCATCGACAGGCTCTCAGAGACGCGGCCCACACCCTGCAGCCAGGCGCAGCCAGGCTCCCGTCACGGCCCCTTGAAGAGCTGCCTCCCGCCTGCCCCACAGCTGAGGCTCCAGCTGTCCACCTTCTCCGCTCAGCTTGCTTGGTATTTCCGCACCTCCCTCCTGGCCGGGGCTGAGGGCTGGGTCAAAGCCGGAAGCTCCTCCTGATGGTCACCGGGACCTTCCTGTCGCCTGCTGCTGAGAACCTGTGAGCACGCCCCAGATCTCCACTGGATCACCCCCTCGCAGCCAGATCAGCCCACTCCAGCTGGAGACAACCATTCCCAAAGGCACCCCACCCCCAACCCTGGCTCCTGGGGAGTAACCTGCAGCCCTGGGGTAGAGCGAGGCCCAATTGCTGGGGACCCGCTTCCCTCCCCCGACAGCCCCTGCCCCACCAGGTGCGCCCCCTGCAGCCCCAGCCCCCTGCAGCCCCAGCCCACAGCAACTCAAGAGTCCCCGTGGCGACCCCCCGCAAGCCAGCATGGAGGTGCCCTCTCCGGCCCCCCTCACCGCAGCCCTTGTCCCCGCCAAGGCCTGACTGTAAATACTATAAATGAAGCTCTGTTTGGGTCAAGCTTCCCTCTTTCCACCCCAGACTTTGGCCTCTCAGTGAATTGTCTCCCTGCCATGTTGGGCTTCTCTCCTTGATGCTTCTTTTCTTTTTCCTTTTTTTTTTTTTTAAGACAACCCATCATTACCACATAACTCAATAAACCATTACTCTTCGTCTCAGGCTTTGGGGTTGGCTGGGGAAGGAAGCAGCCTGGGTCTGGGCTTTCTCCAGAGAACCTCAGAGCCCCCATGGATCATGAGCTCACTGTGGGGTGGGGGGCGGAAAGTTGAAGGACCGTGGGCTGCCCAGAAGCCCTGACTTCGCATTCCCCCTCTCCCTCTGTTGCTAGACGTTGAACTCCGGGCAGCCACTTCTCCTCAGCTTTGATTTCCACTGTGAGTGAACGCCAGGATAAAATGAGCACACGGCACGGTGCCCAGGGCCAGTCGTAGACTTCCCACAAGTAGTCGCCCTTGTTATTCACAGGAAGCCAGAGAAGCTGCAGGGAGGACTGGAGAAGGTTCTGGAAACACAATAACCTGGGGCCTACATAACAGCTCCTGCGCCTCCTGGAGCAGGAGAGGAGGAGGGGAGAAGACGTCTCCTGGGCAGTGCTGTGTGCCAGACTCGGTGCGAAGGGCGTCCAGTAGATAAGTTGGGATTAGCCCCATTTTACATTTGAGGAAACTGAAGCTCAGACAAAATGAATTAACTTGCTCAAGGTGGGAAATGGTGGGTTCAATCAAGTCCTCTTGCAAAGACTGGGTGATGGGAGGCCCTGGGTGTGCAGGGCCATGAAGGGCCAAGGGAGCCTGTGGGGACATCAGACAATCCCTGTCTGAGAAATGCAGGAGAACACGGGTCAATATAAAATGATGGCTGTGAGGGCTCTGCCCCGACCAGGACGCTTGCACCTTCTCCATGTGGGGCGCAGTGGGAACGAGGGGCAACACGCCCTATTGAATGCTGACAGCAGGGCAGACAACTCAGGTTGAGTCAGATGAAGAGAGAACTCCTCACCCACCACGGACTCCAAGACTAGGAGGGCTGAGGAAGAGACATAGGGTTCTTACTGCCCCCCCCCCACTCCAGTCTTCCCTAAAGAGAAGCCGGGGATGCTCACCAAGGATGGCGTGAGAGTACAGCTGTGGGACCATCCCACAGAGAAAACCAGCCTCGTCTCTGAGAGGACCCAAATTGAGGCTTATTTTCCAGTAACAGCCCTTCCCTCTACAACAAGCTTAGCCACAGGACTGAATCCCATCCTACGTGAGGCTCCTCATCATCTCAAACCTCTGAGTCCCTGAGTGCCCTAAGGCAGCCCCCCACCTGGTTCTGAGGAGCAACGGACCACCCGCCCCCATCCAAGATCACTTTGAGATACGCGGTGTCCGAAGGAGCCCGCAGAGCAATTTCGCATTTGAAGCCAAAACACTCTCTGGGAACACTTGGTGCCCCTGGCAGGCCTCCTCCAAACCCCAAACAGCGAAGGGACTTGGGCTGTGCTTTTGCTACGGGGTGACCATGGTTCAGAACTCCCCTTCCTTTCTCTGAGGTGGGCTGAGCATCCCTGGGCACTCTGCCTCAAGCAAGTGTTGGTGTGTGGTGTGTGGTGTGGGCCAAGGGCAGCATGGCTGGCCGGTACCTACCCAGACATTCGATCTGTGGTCAAACCATGGTCCCCCTTTGGAAAATGCAGTCATCTATGCATTCTGGGAAAGCGACCATTTGCTGTTGAGAGACGTCTGGGCCGCACTGGCAGGGCTTGGTAAAGGACTATGAGGAGGATGAGGGGACATAGGGGTTGGGTTACCACGTAGCAAGGTTTCTGTGAAGGGTTGCGGGAGTAGAGTGTGTGGGGAGGATAATGGGGGATGGGGCCTGGGCCTGAGCATTCCCAAGGCACCAAGGGCTGCATAGCACCCTCACCCACCCTGCATAGCAGCTAGAACAATCCCGGTCACAGCCCATGTGAGGAGGCCTCCTCAGCTTTCCTAGCAGCTCTCCCTGCTGCTCCCCCATCTTCACTCTTCCCCTTCAGTGACCTCTACCCCCTGCCCCTCCTAGCATGGCCAGGCCTGCCCAGTGTCAGGAGCTCACAGAGGTCTGAGCAGGCCAGGCAGCCCCTACAGGTGGCCATAAGAGTTCCTGCTAAGAGACAACAGCTCAGACCACCTGGGCCACAAGGTGGAGTAGAGCCCATCTTTCCAAGGTGGGCTGGAGCTGGTGTGATCCTCAGGCCTCTAGGAGTGGGGACAGGAGCAGCTGGGAGTCCTGCCTCCAAGGCCAGCCCCAGGCTGGTTCATCTCCCTGCCTTCTCCAATATTCTTGCCATGAGTTGTTACCAAAGAGAGTCTGTTTTCCATGGGGGCACACACTCCATCCTGGCAACAAACTCAGGCAAGAGGAGTCGGTGGCCAGTCTACTGATAGGAAATAGGGGACCAGCAAGATTGAGGGGTTCGCTAGGGTTGCCCCTCTCCTGCCTTCCCTCCTCATCCTCCTGCTTCCTTCCCCAAAAGCATGTACCTTTTCAGGTGTGTACCTATCTGGGTCCTCATCAGATGATTCCTGATGTCCTTGTCCTTCAGAGGTGCCAGAGGAGAGGCCTAGAGTCCTCAAAGCCCCTAGTCGGTGGGACTGAGCTTCAAGGGCAGAGGGAAGCCGGTGGGGATTGGGGCTCCTTGCCCGGCCCCCTTCAATCCCTACTTCACTCCCACCTTCATCTTCCCTCATCCTCAGTAAGAGTACTAACCCTTCACAAAGGCTTAGTTTCTGCTTATAAAAAAGCTCATTCGCGTCAATTTGTGTCCCTGGTTCTGAACATTGGCTCCATTTTGTACTTGGAGAAACTGAGAACTCAAGATTTCTTGACTTTTTCAACGTCATTCAGAGGAGGAGGGACCACCGCCCAACCCGTCATCCAAGGCCAACTCTGGGTCGTAATCTAAGGCTTGGATACCCAGACGTGGCCAGACCTCTGCAGAGACCTCAGGCAGCTGTGACTTTGTGCGGAGGGTCAGAAGGTCTGTGACCGCCTAGGGCACTGCCTTGCACTCCTGACGGGGCCAGCAGTCCCGGATGGAAAGCCTGGACGTCAGGCTACAGGTGGAGGAGCGCAGGGCCAGGTTGATCCCGGTTCCCTTCTATCCCTGGCCCTGAGTTTCTCCTCAGGCCATCCCTTGGCTGCTGTTCTCCTGCCTTTAGGGTCACAAAGCATTTGCATCGGTAGGGGATTTCCCTGTTCCTCTGCCAAAGCTTCTGAGTCACCCTCCAGAGGGAGTGAGCCAACGGAGTGACCACCGCGGTGAATCTTGGGACGAGTCCTGTCCCTCCACCTCTCTCACCTCCTTGTCCCGACACTTTCATCTCTTAGTTTTTGTTCCAGTCCCTTCTCCTCGGGGTCTGATGAAATTGTTCCTTTGACGGCCCCGAGCCTCCCCCACTTTGTGGGCGTCTGCAGGTGTGTGAACCTGTGAGAGAATAGGCGAAAGCTCAGGAAGGGCTTAGAGGTCCTGCATCCTGCTCCACAAATGCCACCAACTCTCCTCTCTCCATCTCCTCATTGTTTGGCTCCTTGTTCTTCTCATTACCTTCTTCTGTTCCTCTTGCTCTTTGGGGACTGGGGGACACAGGCATAGAGGCTCCCTCTCCCGGCAGGTGCACAGGCCCACAGCTGTCCACTCCCTCACGCACCCCACCACCTTCCGCCCCACCTGCAATGTCACAGGCCCTGGGACAGAACCCGCAGCCAGGCCTTCGAAGAAGCTGGAGAAAGGGGCAAGACGGGCCCCTCCTGGCCAGCATCCTCTCCCCTCCCCCGAAGGCACCCCTTCTATTCTTGCGAAGGGCCTCGCGGGGATTCAGGAATTCGGGAATTCGGGGCCAGGACTAGGGGCTCCCCGGTGGCGACGGCGGCGGGAAGCGGGGCTCTCTAGGTGAAGGGAAAGGGAGCGGGAGCAGGGAGGTCGGGCCCAGCTCCTCCGCATCTGTGCCTGGTGGCAGCCGGCCAGGTTGTGGAGTGGAGCGCTGCCTGCGGCTCTCCCAGGGAAATGTGATTTCCCCTTGAGTGAAGCGGACTGTGCAGTGTGGAAATTGGCTCTTTTCTGAGCGAGCGGTGGCTGTTCTGGAGTCGGGGCGGGCTGGGGCCCGCGGGAGGCCGCGCTGGCCCCTGGAGTGAGCCGGGAGCAGCCATGTGCTGAGAACTCATTAGGGATAAATCAAACTAGTACCAGCATGAAGCCAACACCCTCCCCCACCGACCGTGCCTCCGGTCCCCACCTCCTCCGAGACCCCCTACTTCCACCTCCTCCTTCTTCTCCGCAGCCCAGGCCCCCTCCCCCACGTCAGGGAGCAGAGCCCAC